CATGAGCACACTTAAGCACTATTTATAGATTTCATCAGATGACTGCTGTTTTTATTTTCCGTCACTCACGCCAAATAGGATTCATTATTTGTGAACAATGTTGCGTATGCGTGATATTTGGCTGTCTATCTTTTGCACATTTGCTCAATGAGCACTCACTTTTTCGTTTGTTTGTTTGTCTGCGTGGGTGAGCTTTCCCCCCCCCTTGTTTGTTGTAAACTTAATTTAGATGTGCAATTAAATTTTAATTAGGCTGCCTCTTCTATTTCCATTTGCCCACAAGAGGGGAATTAGAGGAGGAGCCGATGTATATTTCTAGTTCTATATATCGAAATACCTTTAATTAGGCAACGTTCATTTCGGGGGCTTTCGTGCTATTATACCCTTGATGTGTGCGCTTTAATTTGTTTTTCTCGTCGACTGTTTGTTCCGCTTTCGAAAGCATTTCCAGTGCTCTGTGGTATTTGGTAGTAAACCCACCGCCCCCGGGCCTTCATCTATAGAACAACCTTTAGCTGGTAGCTATTCCCATTTAACTGTAATCAATTAATTCATTATTATTCGTATTCTGCTTTCGAAAAACCTGCCACTTTGCTTTATTGCATGTTGAAGTAGTTTTTCATTATTGGCTCTACCTTGTTGCACACAGTTTGGCGATGAGTTCACAGGGGCGGGGTTGAAAGGGGGTTCTTCCAGGGGCAAATGCACAAACTTGTCGGCAAGTTTTCCAAGGTAATTCACAGGCAACTTGGCTCTGCTTCTTTTATTCCTCTCTCCGTTCAATTTCAGTTTGGTTGAAGGCCTCTGGGGTAACATTCCAAACAAGATAGCTGAACCAGAACAACTGAGGCGAAATCTTTTAGCCTTTAAAGGAGCTCAGCTCGGCCGACGTGCTTTCTGATAGCTTTGTGGATGGAAGGGAACTTGAGACGATCACTTTGGCCAGTCAGATAAATATAATTGATATTTAAATAACTGGGGCTTTTGGTATTTCATTTACAATATTTTACGTAAACTATTTAATAAATAGATTTAGAGGGTATAAGATAATATTATCGTTTAAATAATTTTATTAAAAAAAAAGAAAACATAAATGTATAAATTTAAAGATTTAAATATTATCTTGGCATTCATGCTTAATAATTTTAAAATTCTGAGTAAGATTTATAAGACTAGAAGATTAAAATAGCCTGTAAAATATTTAATAAATTCTACAAATTGCTTTACAGTTCTTCAACATACATATATCTTCTTGAATATTTTAAAGGTTTTAAATATTTGTGACCATTTGGTATACTTGGATTTTATAGCCACCTGAAATATTTCAAAAATCGAAAGAAATTCAATAAAATCATGTTAGAAAGTGTACTCAACCGCGATTTATTCCGATAACAATAAACAGGTGTTGATATTGTGTTTTTATCCGACAAGTGTCCTGCATTGGAAAACCTGTTCTTTCGATTTGAACAGAAGTAAAGGAAACTTGTACAACTTGTACCGATTGTCCTATATTCCGGCACACATCGAATGCCGTTTTTATTGTCGCTGCCATTTTCATTACATTAACCGTTTGCCAAAGCATTCAAGTTGCCAACTCCCGACTGTTTTTTCGCCACCCACCGCAATGCGCATCGTTTACCTGCTTTTTTCTGCCTTTTTCTGTTTTTGTTTGTATTATTATGCCAGTTACTGCTGTTATTTTATTTTTTCCCTCTTTTTTCGCTGCCTTTGCAACTGTTTTACTGCGTCGTTTGTTGATTTTCCAGTTTGTGATGCTGCCATTGATGCGACAACCCCCTGTGAGCCCGCTAATCCAGGTGAAGGGGGAAAAAGTTTAGCGCTTTTGTCGTTAAAAACGTTACAAGTGTATAAGAAAAGGAGAATCATCAGCGACTGAAGTTGCTGCTGAGTGGGCACAACTATTTAAACGGCTTCCGCTGTGATCGGAACTTCCGTTGGAACCCAAACAATTGCGAGTCCCCTCGAAGTTCAATCACCCGCATCAATCAATGGGCATATGATAGTCCCAGCCCCCCCTAAACAGAAATCCAGACACTTCGGAGTTCGAACCCCTGCATCTCATCGCTGACCCCGCTCAACTTCGACAGGTCAGAGCGTTTTTATAAAGCCATAAAATATACACAAACTAACTCAAAGGTCGAGCCCCACGCACTTGCACACGTTTTATTTTTTTCGCCACGGGGGAAAGATGGTTCGGGTGATTGGGGGCAGGAATGGGTTAAAAAAGAGGGGTGGTGGGGATGGTCTACAGTCTGGGACCTTAGACTGTCAACGGCCAGCTTGGGCAACCCTTTTAAAAAACTACATACGGAGAAGTGGTTAAAAAGTTTGTATGTCAGCCATATAATTCAAGACAAGATCAAAAGATCTGCATCCTAAATAAGAAATAAATTAATAGATAGAATAAAATCTAGATACGTAAAACAGGTGGATTAACCCCAACAGCTTATCTAAATGTTATATCTAAAATCATAAAATATAACCAAGTTAGAAGTACGTTGAAAGAAGATATTTGCTAAATATAATAATATTAATATTAATAATAACAATATTAATAAGTTACAACTATTCCGTTTTAAAATTGATATATGGAAAAAATTCTTTGGAGTTGTTAGGACTTTTTGGCACTTTCAAAAACAAAGACCATACAATTTTTAAGAACCCATCGGGCAACTCTCGCTTTTCTAGCCTTTTGAGTTGTTGTTCGTGTCCTGTTCCTTTTTCATTGGTTTAAGGGTCCTGCTTATGTTTGGTTTATGTTTTTTTGTGGGCCCATTCTCAGTTTCGGACTTGGGCTTGCCCCGAAAGATTTATGTGCGTAAATTTCATGCTGACGGCATCAGGTGATTTAACACTTTAGATAACTTGGAACAGTTTATAGTCGGAGGAGCAGAAGAGACCCTCCTTCCCCGAAACCACCCCCCTCCCCTCAAGGACGCTTGGGTGAGGATGGGTGAAAAGTTGTATTTTTATTATTTTATTTTATTGCGCTTACATCTTTAAATAAGTTTGCTTTGGCCGCCCGCTCTCCTCCTTATTGGTTGGGTGTGTATTGGGGTCCTTTTGTTCGGAGATCTGCCCTTCGGAATTGATGCGTCTTTTGGGGTCATAAAAATTACAAAAAATTTCGCTTGCCTTTTTGGGCTGATTGCTGTGTGTGATTGAGCATCGTTGGTTTTTGGTCCTCCGGTCCTGGTCCCATTTCCCAGGTCCCCTGGCGTTTCCTTTCGTCCTTTTCGTCCTTTCCTGCTCGTTCTTCTTTTGTTTGTTTGTTGTCCAGATAGGATATAAATTATATTGAGCGCTTTGAATTAGTTTTTTATGTGCCACACATGTAGTGAAAATGAAATTAGATACGTGTTGGGTACGAGTTAATTTGAAGGCACAGATTTTTCCCCTCACCCCAGGAATCAGAATAAAAAAACAGCAAACTTTTCCTTGATTTGTCTTCGATTGATAAATGCTGGGCTGGGGCTCTCAACCGGGGGATATTTAAAGAGTTTACTTTAGTCGCACAATGCTCAACAATTGCCAACTCCAGTGGGGAAAGTTCGCCCTGCAATCGCTGCAGCACCACCAACAATGGCAAGCAATTACCAAAATACAAAAAATACAGAAATAGCAGAAAAACCGAACAGAACCAAATACAAAATACAAAAAATAAAAGGGGGAAGATTGCGAAAATTCAACTCCAACACGAAAAGGGCAAGCGCGAGAAAGGAAACGCAAAAAAGCGAAAATAACATGGAATTGTTAAGGAACTGCAAACTGCAAATCCATTAAACCACAACAAGAACAAGATGAAGGAGGATGAGCAGGACGAGGATGAGGATGAGGAGAGCAGATCCCAGCAGAACCGAGTGGAACTACTCCGAACTACAGTAGGTATTGAATCGAAATGGGGAATGTTCTGACACAATTGACTGAAAATTGTTTGTTAAATGTACAGCGCGCTGAGCGTTGAGCACCAAGACAAGACATTTGTAAATGTACTTTTTTTCGGGATTAGCCGATAAGGTTTAAATTAAATTACCATAAACATTTTGCAGAAAAAGGGAAAAGCTTTTTGAATTCCCTATTATGTAAATATTTTTCATTTACCATTATGATAAAGCGTTTAGTTATACTCTTCTTTATAGAGTCAGTTAATCAATCGGTTTCACTTATATACCTTAGTTTAACATTTTAGTTCTATGCCTGGACTTAATAGAACAACATGAAGTTATTTATTTTTCTTTGCTATAGTAAGTTCAGTTACCGATATTCTATTTTATTGACTTTCTAAGTAACTTTAATTCCCCGGTAGTTGGTGTTTCTCTGGCTAATCAGCTTGCTTTGAAATGCATTAAAAATTGTCCACCAGAGGATTGGGAACCATCTTGTTCGTTTGACAAAATGTGTTATTATGAAGCGGAAAGCGATTGTATTCTTGAGATGGAGACATGCTTGCGTAGGGCCTACAATGCACCGCGTGAGTATGATACTTTAGTTAATATTATATTAAAACATATTACTCTCTGAAAAGGATTTGTTAAGAAAAGAGATGGATATTGTATAAGAAAGCACTATCCAAAGACGGCAAGTCCTTGTATTCCCATGGACCCAACTATACAGCTGCCAAATAACATTGGACTTATGAATATTTACAATGACAATCTATTCGCCACAACCGGTGATGATGAAGATTGATAAGAGTTAAATAGAGATTATTATAAAGGGTAAAACGATTTTTTCAGAATTATAAACGCAATGGGTTGAATAACCGTCATGTAGGCATTTTACAATTATTTAAAATGAAGTAAGACTACGATTTTCAAAGCTCATCGAATCGATCGGTCATAGCCGCAACTTTTAAACATTCCTGGCAGTTTTCTAACAGATCTCAGTCGTTCAACATGAGGCTATTCCTAGTTCTATTTCTAGGTAAGGTATAAATAATAGACATTATTTTTTTTACGCCTTCAATCTCGGATTAGTTTCTATAACTCTGGCCAATAAGAAGGCATTGCGTTGCATTAAAAATTGCCCAAAAGATGTGTACGACATGACGTGCTCTTTTGATAAACACTGTTACTTTGAGGCAGAAAACAATTGCACGGTTAAAGTTGAGATGTGCTTGCGTAAAGTCTATAATAAACCAAGTGAGTATAGAAACATCGAATAGCTGAACATTTAATATTAAATTAAATCTAATATATGCCATAGAGTTTATTAAAACGAGGATAGGATATTGCCTGAAACAGCACTATCCAAGTCGAACGAAACGTTGTGTTCCAATGATTACATCCAGTGCACTACCAGTCAAAAATAGATGGATAAGTAACTACCATGGAAAATTGTTCGCAACCGATTATTGAATCAAGATATTACGCCTTTAAAATAAATTACACCTTAACCAATTGGTTTTTTAAATGTGCTTATTAAAAGTTGAAAAAAATTACAGTTCTACTCAGCTGCTTCGAATATGAAGTTGTTTGTTATTGCTTTTCTGGGTAAGTAATAGTCATTGGACTTGTTTGAATTATTTATATTCATTCTTGGAATCAGCTTTTATGTTAGTTGGTTTTGGCTGGGGTCAGAATTGCAAAAAGAAGTGTGGGCCTTGCATTTTGCCGACCTGTAACTATGATGGCAAATGCTTTTTCGAGGGCTCCAGCACTTGTGCCCTGGAAAATGAAAAGTGCCGACGGAAAAAACTTAAACTTCCCAGTAAGTTTAATCTATATAGCGAAATAACCACTTGTACAAATTAGTTATATACCTCAAATATTTTTAGAATTCATAAAATCAGAAGCGGGCTTCTGCGAGGAAGGCGTTAAGATGTGTTAATAGCTAAATGGAATGATTTATGAATTTATAATTTATTCATTAATTAGTTAAATCATCAAAAATATATTATTATTATATTTTAAAAGTGTTCTTCCTAACCAAAACGAAATTGCTACAAAATGCAATAATCTACTGCCGCCGCTTAAAGTCCAATTGCTCCCCAGTTTGACCAGTGAAAACCACAAGAAGACAAAGATGAGGTGGATTCAGAACAACCCACCTTCCTCCCAAAAAAGCAAGCCCAACCGAAGCGAACCGAGAGCCACCCAACTATGAAAAATTTAAACTTTGCATCCAAGCCATTTATTCATCCTGCTTGGCATCTGCCATCATATCTTAGCATGCGGCTCTGGCCACTCCCTCCTCCCCTTTCTGCATCTTAAAGACCTCCTCCTTTATATATATATCTTTAACCATCTCGGGGCTCCTTGGTTTGTGGGGTGCACCTTAAAAATTAATTGAAACATCACTACCGGCTAATATTGTATATTAAAAACAGAAAGGCCAAAGGAGCTCTTGGCTCTTCTCGGGGAGGCATATAAAACTTTTGGGGTTAGCTGAGTGCTCTAAACTGGCCGACAGGAACTTGCAAATTGCCAGTGTGCGTGGCCATTTATCAGTCTTAGTTTTTCGGGTTGCCTCGAAGGAATGTTCCACAATAAATTCGAACAACAAATTTGGCTGCTGCTGGAGTTTATTAGCTACCAGCCGGTATTTTGTGGTCAAAGGGCAACCTGAACTTGAATCTCCACAACACCCCGCCATCCATCTTCTTCTTCCTCGGATGATGGGCCCCCATTCAAATCACTGTCCGGTCTAGAATTTCTTTGAATACTCCGCCTGAAAGTCAGGCATTGCCAGGTGGCAAATTAATTCTGGGTCAGGCGCATGCTCAGATTCTCCGGCAATCGGGGTTCTTCGGGTCTTGAAACTCTCTCAAGCGAATGTTCGCATGATATGGTTTCGTGGGGTCTTCGGTTTTGGGTCTGTTGCGCCTAGGACAACAATTTCCGTATTGCATGTTGCTGGCCCTTCGTGTGTGATCTAAAAAACGAGGCGAGTGTCGAGGTCGCCGAAAAGTGCCATAAAATGCGCATAATGTGGCACGGATGTGCCAGTGCACGTTGGTTATTTGGCGCGTGAGCATCGTTGGAGTAGAGTAGCCCCCGTTAATTTTGGGTTCGGCTTTATCCGTATTGTGATGTCGTAGCAACTAGCCGGCCTATCGCGAAATCGCGAAAAATGGTTACCACAAATAGATAGAAATACTATCTCTCTCCGGATCGATTGGTTGAGATTTCAGAAAAAAGTGCTCTTTATGATATAGAAAGCAATCAGGCGGTGATTGCCAAGTGAAGTGATCAGTAATCAAAACTCGAGTGGCAAGTGGCAAGTGAGGAGGAGGAGGAAAAAGTAACTTAGGCACATGCAACAACTGGATACGGATACGCTTTTCAAGCTCTGAACAGCCGCCGACCCACGACCCTCGAAGAACCCACCCACAAGTCAAGTACGTAACAGATTGATGAGGCAGTCGTGTCTCCAACTCGAGGCAACCACCACCCACTCGGCCACCCACCAACCAAGCTACTTGACTAAAAGTTCAATTTCCTGCAAGATGCTTTAATTGAAGCGCACAGTAAACAAGAAACAGAAAGCAGAGCACGGAAAGCAGATAAAACAGAGTGAGCAAGGGTCACTCGTCGCCGCCTCGGGTGCCTTCGAGTTCGGTTGGCTCTGGTCAGTCATTAGTCATTTGCTCATTTCCGCAAACGCAGCCCGGATGTGCAGCACTTGTCAGCCAATAAACAACCTCGGCGGGGGGTGGTGGGTGGTTGGGTGGTGTAAGGAGGGGGTTCAACCACCCCACCCACACCCCCAATTAAATGTGGCAAACGTATCAGCGTCAATCAACGATGCTGATGGGAGGTCAGTGCATCCAGCTGACTTGATCGGTTGAGGCATCCCGGTTATTTCAATGGCTATTTGCATTGCCACACCAGAAGACTTGAGGGAAAATTCGATGGGATATTGCTTAGAGTAGCTTTGTGTAGAGGAATACCAACATTCTTAGAAGCTGTTAAAAATTTAACAGCTATTAAGCCCTTTAAAAAATGTATCAATTGTAGAAGGGAAAATAGTATTTGCAAGCTTACAAATCGGAAAACATAAAATATATTTGCAGCTGGGAAATTTCAAGCATTTAAAATATTTTTAAATATAAAGCAAATAAAAACGAAAAGATATCAAATGATACTTATGAGGTAGATAATATTTCAAACGTTTTATTACAGATTTGGCATTTATGAGGTAGATGATAGGTATTTATCAAGAAGATTATACATATTATTTTTATTATTAATATTTATTAATATATTTCAATTTTAATTTCTAGGAATTTTTTGTTCATAACATTATTCATAATTTCCTCGCTTGTTAAAATGAAAAATTTCAAATACAAATGTCAATAACAGGATCTTTTTTAACTGATAAATATCCTGATACTTATAGAATAAACCAAAATGATTTTTTGTGAAAGACGATTATGAGACATAAAAACATGGTTTCAAGAGTCAAAACTTCCCACATAAACAGCACTCTTCAATCCGATTCTCTGGCTTTCAAGACGATGGCAAGAAAATGTGGAACGAACCAGAGAAATCTGGGGAAGGAGTGTTGCAGCTGGAGTGGGTGGCTGTTTTTGTGGCATGAGAAGGGCCTGCACTGCATATGTGTCACACATTGAGTTTCTTGGACAACAATAACCAAGACGGACAGGAGCAGGGCGCATCGTTCAGAAAGAGCAAAAAGCAGTGCATAGGTGCTAAAAAAAAGAAACAACGAAAATCAACAATGACATGGGGGCGGGGAAATAGGGGAAAGATGCGGAGAAGTACCCAAGCTAACCCAGTTCTTTTTTTTCGACGCTCGTTCTTCACGGCTCAGTTTTGTTTTGGGCCTCTTTTTTCCTGCTGCTTGGTATATTTTTCTTTTTATGGCTTTTACGGACTGCCCGCAAAACGACGACGACGAGGAGCCGCACTGACAGCAGAAGAAACGAAAATATTTCGACCAAAAACTGCCAGACTTGGCCCAAAAGCCACCCACTCAGCCCCTTTGATGAAACCTGTTTTGTAATTGTTGTGTTTTTATTCCGTGTATGCGTGCTGTTGCGGATTTCTTTGGGCCCTGGCTTCTTGCCTGGGCCATTGTCACGTAAATCTGTGACAGAAATTAGCCTCGTTGACAAAAATATGCCTGCTTACACATTATTTGTACAAACAAATAGACGGGCAACAGTTAATGGCGGTGGAGAGTGTCGTCCTCGAGGTGCCTCTGGGTTCTCTAGGAGTTCTACGGGGTCTCTGGGGTCTCCGAGGGGAAAGTCTGGGGGAAATTTGCATGGGAACTGCGCCAGTTGCCGGTGTTGTTTCTTGGGATTTTTTTTTGGGATTGGTTGGGATTCCTTTGGTAGTTTTGCGGCTGTCGTACCGGCTTTTCTTCTTCGTCTTGTTTTATTGATCTGTTTATGCTTTAGGACCTCTGTCCTCTGTTCCCTTAAACCCCCCACCCTCAACCCACCAACCTCCGTCCGACCCTCATCATGGATAGACAAACAAAAAAAGTTTTATTTGTGGACTAATAAAAATGCAAAAAAAAGAGAGCGACCGCAAATGTGTTTTTTTCGGGCCAAAGTTGTTCCTAGGTTAATGACCAGACAGGCGTGAAGGCAATCATAAACAAGGTCCACTCTATTTACCCACCCACACTTGGCACTCCAAGTTAATTTACCTTGACCTCCGGTTCCCCGGGCCCTGATAGAAAGTTTACTCTGGTTTTTAATCAACTCATTATGAGGCCCCCGCTTCATAGAGCACAAAATAATATATAATATACATATCATGCTGTCGATTAAATTATTTGGTAGCCTTACGGCCTTGCTGGCTGATTGACTGATTGACTGAACGACTTTCGGTGCGATTTTTCCCAATAAAATGTAATGAGCTTAATAAATCAAATAACCGCTCAAAGCTATAAAAATTGTGTTATTTATTTAATAGGAATTTTAAGCCAGGTAATTAGGTATCCATTGCTTTTAATAAATATTCTTAATTATGCTATCGAAATGCAACTAGTATTTTTGTAATTTTATAAAAAAAAGTTTCTTTGATTTTTTGGCAATATAATAGCCAGTACACATTTTCCGAAATACTGCCACGAAATATGAAACATAAGCTCAATAAGCCAAAAAGTTCAAGTTGAAAGTCAAACCACTGACAATTTCCTGACGACTACAATTTCCAGCCCGACCCAGACCCCTAATTACTGGGACCTAACCTTAGGCACACACAAAATACAAAGTCAATTTATCATGCTATGGGTGTTTTCCTGATTAACACGAAACTTTGCCTAGTCCGTGCAACAAAATGATTGATGTCCACTACAAAATTTTCAATGTATCGCCCGCTCGCTCGGCCACTCCCTCTTTTTACCCAGAATATTTCGTTCAATTCAAGCTAAAATCCTGATTTTCCTAACGCAACACCCTGAACCTTAGCCACGTACATAAACTGTTTATCGAACCATTCGGTTTTATGTCACAGCAACTGATTGATTTTTAATTAAACGTCCACGATTTCACTGATTGACGCTAATCATACGCTTGATGGGCTTAAGCCCGGCCACGCCCCCACTTAAGGGGCGGCTAGGAAAAAAAAATGAGAGAGCGTTTTCCACTTTAATTCGTACACAATGTATGAGCATTGAGCACACACATATGACGGAAATTAGATATTTATTGGGGGAGGCGTTGTCAGCCAAACCAATTTGAAAGGTATTGGCGCAAAGCGAAGGGCATGGAAATCGAATATTATCCAGATAGTGCCGAAGATCCATTTACGTGACTCGGAAATGCAAATAAAAAAGTGGAAAGAACCGCTTTCCGTTTTTTATATTTTTTTATTGAATTGCCAACGGAGGTTTTCAGTGGGTAGTTGGAAAATGCGGGGCCTGGGACAGACCGACATAAATAAACCTCAACTAAGTCGTGTGTTTTGACATAGATTTAAATTGACATGGTTGTGTAAACAGGCCGGGGATGGAGGAGATGGAGGCTACCAAAGGCAGACACAAAGGCAGAAACAGACGGAGAGGCTCACACACATTCCTCATTGAAAGCCGCACACAAATTCTCGGCGTTCAAGGCATTCTTCCCTGGTCCCAGGAAAACCCCAGACCGAACCCCATGCCTGTGCTCCACTTCTCTGTTCAATATGAGCCGGGGCGAGAAAAAATAAAATAAAAATGCAAAATAGTTCGTTATTTAACATATTTGACGGCTGGCCCCCGACTGCCGTCTGCCGGGGTAGTAAATGTAAATTGGCCGGCAGATATGGAGCTGATGACAAACAGAATCTAAACCAAAAACCGGGACGCGACGCACATGGAAAATCCTATCTCCACATGCGACGACGAACCCTTTGACAATTTTGTTGCTGCCTTCGTTCCGATGGCTCGTTGGTTTTTCTCCGGGCTCCGCAAAAATATTTGCCACGCAAATAGCTGGAAAAGTATTGCCCGATTATGTTTCTCTAACTGGGCACACACGCAGCAGTCAGCAAATTGAAAGGCAAACACATCCACACAGCAGCCAGTCGGGAAAAAGATGAACAGGCCAAAACGATTTGAGAAGGATCCGAAAAAAGGAAAAAATTGAATATGGAGGGAAAAACTAGTGGAGGGAAGTAGGGAGAACGGAGAAAAGAACGCAGTCTCGTTGCTTTCTATGAATGTCAATTGGTTGTTGGCCGGATGGTTCTGGGTTCTGGGCCAAAATGGAGTAGGAAAGGGGCCAATTTAAAAGGGCTTACTTTTTAATGAAGCGAGCTAAGGACGATACCCAACCCGAAAGAGGGAATCCAACACAATCGCTATAGCGACTATGATAAATGGATGAGCATATGTCGGGGGAGTAAGTGGGTGTCTGGCCATTGAGAAACTGCCGGCTTATTGACAGAGAACGGCAGCGGGAATTGAAATGCTAGATGAGATGCAATTAGATAGAGCGTAAATGGAGGATGATAATACCATATTATGCATTGTTAGTCGGGGTCTTTGGGGTCTTGTGTCGCAGGGTAATTGGTACTAATGGCAGCATATTAAACGCAAAGGGGTTCAACATGAAGTCAGCTTAAAAGGGGTTACAAAAATCATTTAAAGTAGCTGGCATGAAACCCTCTTTTTAATTCGATTGAAAACGAGGGAAAACACTTTAGTCGAGAACTTCGACTATCAGATAACCGTTACACAACTGAAAAGAGTGCGAGGGAGATAGTAGAAATTTTTGATGGCTCCATCTGGCGGCTGTTTTAATTTTTGTTCATAACTTGAATGGTCTGATTTTTTAAAATTTCTTCAACATTTCGATACATTCAAAGTTAGGGATACATAAATAAATACATTTTATCTTTCAACCACTTTCTGATATAAAATATGTGATTTACCTTGTAG